ATTTCAATTCTATGAAAATTCGATAAATACGATTAGCCTTATTATTTCTATTTTTACATCTTAATTTCGAATTCGAGAAAATATGCAATAAATAAATATATATATCTGAAATATTTCGTATTATTTTTAATTTCATAATTGTTAAATCGTAATTTCTCTGCTATGATTATAATCTCATAAAGAAATATTTTATTAATCTATATAACTTTGAAAATAAGATCATGACGATCTTTTATATATTTTCGATATCATAGGAATTTTCATAATCTATATGATTCTTATTAATATAATTTTGTGATTATTCTTCTAATTATTCGTCTCTTTTGTAATTATTTTTTCCTCTAATATCTTCGAGTGAGAGGCAATTTATTTTCAACATTCGAATAGAAATATCATATTAAGATACGATCTCCGGTCATCCTAAATTCAATTATATAGTTATGAAATATTTTCGGAATATTCTTCAAAGATAATCATAATATCTTTTTAAGAAAATCATATAATAATTCAAAAATATTAATAATTCTAAAGAAAAAATATATGAAAAATATTTCATGAATATAAAGATCCATATATAATTAAATGAAATAGAATCAAATCGAATAAGATATAGTTCCATTATTTTTTTTATTTCTATTTTATTCTATATTTAGAAGAGAAGATATATCAATTATATATCAATCTTAATCAAAAATCAAGAGATTTTAATCAAGACCTCTCGTATTCCTTCCGAATATATTATATAATAGATATCTATTAAGATATATATCTATATTTTCTTATAATTCGTATTCATATATCGACGAACATATAAAAATATTTAATGGGTGCCATTCATTTCGGAAAAATAGATCAATCGAATTTTAATCGATATTTAATCATATTCATATAATAGAAAAGATTTAGAATATTCTAATTATATTAAGATAAATATTTATAATTAATAGAAAAAACATCATATTCCATAAAATACCGATAGCTTCTACTCACTAATATTTTGGAAGATCAAATAATAAATCAATATTGGGCATAAAATCGAGAATATTTAAATCTTATAGAGATCTTAAAAGCTATCTTGAGATCAATCATTTATAATAAGAATTTTGAGAAAAATAGAGATTTTTATATATAACTATTTAATTAAAATTCAATATATTAAGTTAGATAGAGAAAATATAGTAGTTCTAGAAAAAGGAGATTTTGCCTGTGAAAACATAATAATTTCGCGTAGCCAACACCCGAAACATTAATCCGGAAAGCTTCTAATTTCCACAAGCACTAAAAGCCTTGTCGGCCCCAAGTAACTCGAAAGCCGAGCATCCCCATCTGCATGGCACCCATCCCTGCGCTCAGGGCATAATTATATATATATATAGAAAAATTTAATTACAGATAATTATATTCGCGGAGATAAATATCTTTCGAATATATATTCATAAATTTAATTAATATAAAACAATAATATATCTTCCGAATATATCTAACAATCCCTTACGAGGGTATGAATAGATTTGGAAAGATCTTGGTATTAAGCTGTATTATTACCGAAATTCTGCCTGTACTCATCGGAACTCGCAGGCCCGTAATGAAATTAACGTTCTGCCTATCTTTTGGCTTCTCAGGCCGAGTCTTGTGCGAACTGCAATCAGCAGGCACGACACAAAGTGGAGATTCCGACTTTTCGCTGAACGAAGTCACCGACCCATGCTCAGCGGCTAACAAGCCGTGAACCGTTCAGCGTAACAGTCCGAGCTGTGCAAAAGCTGCTCCGAATTAGTAGTTGCTGGGTCGAGGGCTTGCGACTCCCACCGTTATTATCGGAAGGGCACGCGAGGGCTCGCCCGGTCAACAACGCGGCTCTGAAGAAAATTTATAAATATCTGCGCTGGCTCCACAATTTGCGACAAAACCTGGCAGGACGTGAGCAACCTTGACAAAGCGCAATACCCTCGGGGAAGCGCGCTGAGCCAGTATATACTCAATTCTCCGCCACTGTTGAGCAGCATTCAATCTCTAGGATTCTGTAGCAACTCCATCTAGTCGGAACATAGGATGGTCTCAATATTATGGCTTGATCTTTAATCTACACTGGGCTTAGACAGTGAGCTGCTGGCGAAGGATGTCCATTAACTCCACCAACTGAGTGGCAAGATTGACACCTGGCCGATTGGACTGGTGTGAGATCAGCACACCAACCAGGCTGACAAAGTTCATTTTTCGGAGTGCTTTACGCAAACTGCGGAACTCTCGGGACCGAAAAGATTCAGGCAGTTGCATCGTACTGCTTGACTCCTCCATCAGCTTGAGGATCTCAGAGGCTTCTTTGAGAAAGTCGAAGCGCTCGGCCCTGTCATAGCACAGCGGAACTAGCAAACTCAGAAGCTGAGCTTGGCTGCACTGCTGCACCATCATACGCTGCTTCTTATCGAGTTTCGGCATCTTCTCCACATGCGCCATATGGCAGTAGGCGCAGCTCTGTCCATTGGAACAATGTCCCGAAATGAAGTAAATGCACGGCCGGCGACACGCTTCCGGATGACCCAGACTACCCCAAGTTGGAACCAACTGTTGCAACTCTGGTGCCAGCTCCCGGCCTTCAAAAGGCCTGTTCTCCTGCTCGATTTCGGGCTCCTGCCGAGCTTGCCTGAAGTCGGCAGCAGCTTGAGCAAGGCTGCATAAGTAGGTTCTCATGGACTTCTCCTCTTCTGCCGTCTCTGTGAAGATGCTCCGCGTTCTGCCGGGTGGAGAGCTGCGAGCTCGCGCTCTGCCAGGAGGCTCCTCGACTTCCTCCTTCACGTTTAGGAAAGTATAGCGATACTCAAGCTCGAAGGCCATCCTGCACTTGAGATGCGGCACTGTCGGAAAGCAAAACTGGCAAAGCCAAAATGGCTGAGAACGGTCAGAGATGAAGCGAAATGATTTCGGTGATTGCAGGAAAAAGGGCTTTGTCTCGCAGAAGTCCTGAGGACCCTATGCAGCAACCGGCGCATTTTATGAGAAGCATGATGCGGGTGGGCTGTACAGCACCAGAAACAGCTGCAGTTCCATGTCTGGAAATACGCGGCGGCGCGGCGTCTGCGGCGCGCCTGATGCTCCAAGCCTGCTGCCGTTCGACGTCTTTTGACATTGACGTCGCGGAAGCTCACTGGGCGCCACACTACGACGTAATTGTTCATAAATCTAGCAGCAGTATGTAGAGGTTTCTGAAATCTGTAGCTGCGCTGACACTCATCAGTCCTCCGAGGCTTTGGGATGTTGCGCCGGTGCAGCATCCAGCAATGCTACAAGTAGGAGCTTGATGCCACGGTATGCCAGGCCACTGCATGACGACGCTCTGCGTGAACGCCAGGTTTCTAGCATGTGCCCTGCTTCAAACGTTGTGCTAGACATTCTCCTCCTCCATACTCATCTTGAGAACAATCGTGATCGAAGCCTGCGCTGTAGTTCAGGGACATCGAAGCTGTGGCTCCATCATCGCAGAGGTATGCTATGCAGTACTTCGCAAGCGCCAGTCTCAGCCATCTCCCAGAAACAGTGTGGAGCACCTGCATGAACATAGGGCCCGGTCCAAGAGGGGCAGAGTCAGGTGGAAAATCCCTCAAATCTAACATCACCGATATCTTACCACAAACACACGGGCCGGCGACTGCACAGTCACGAGACATCTTAACATCGCTCAGACTTAGCCATGCTGCGCATCCTGGGCGAGTCCAAACAGAACTCGTGCTTCTCGGCATCTGCAGCTTCCTGCATGGCTTCAGGCAAACAGTTGTACAAATAAGATCAAATCGGTATGTTGCGATCTCGTGACTCAGAAGCACATCCGAAGACAACACTGGGACAGGCTTATTCTGTGCCATGCTCCTGCCTGAGCTTTTCGTTTCAGATGGAGACCAGGTGATTGAAGGAATGCTTGTTGATCTGGGAATGCATGCAAGCCCCTGCGCACGAACACGGACAATACCTGGATCTTCGTGGGTCGTCTGAACCAGAATCATTGATGACAGGTTCAGATTTCAAGACTTCAAGGTAGAAAAAATATTCAGTAATGATCTAAGAAGCATTGGCCTGCTCTTCCTGAGTCAAGGCAACAAGACAAGAGCGTGCAAATACCTTGCATATCAGAAATTTCATGTGGTGCAACAGCCATGTGCCTTGGCGTAGTTCTGCAGCGCTGGAATTTTGTCTGCATTCATGTCATCCGGCAGACTATAAGACTGCCGTCGCAGGGCTTCCCTGAGCAGCCTCCAGAAGAGATGTGCTTCTTCAGCAGACCAATCATGGTCGGGCCTGTGAAGAGAAAGGTTCCTGATCTCATATCCGGCTGCCCCTGCTAAAGTATGAAAAAATCGAGGTTCATACTCCACGGCACCATGCCGCGGCCAGCATCCTGCAGCTGGAACCATATTGATGATCATTCCACCATCACTTCGTGCAAGGCCATGTATGTTTCGAAAAGCATTGTATTGTGCATGCCAAATATCCAGCCTTTCATACCCTTCCGGCTCATCGATGTACTCGCTTTCACCGATGTGCTCTGTGGTACCGAAATTCGTGACTACGTCGCACTTCCCAAGCAGATAATGGAGGGAGGAGTTCAACGGTCGTGACAGATCCAACAGCACTGCGCCATCTCTTCCATTGATGTCCAAGCTCACCTTAGCAGTTCATTCTTCGCGTAGGTATGGCGACTTAGGTCCTCACTTTCGCTTTTCTGCTGGCCGAGGTGCATGCCTGATGCCCAGTGCCTCGAAGACCTTCTTCCCACTTGCAAGCGCTGGCGATGGGGTTACGACCATTCCCTGCAAGACGCTCCAGAGATCATGCACGTCGGGCTCGTACCCATGTTCCAGTAAGACACTTAGGGTGGACTTTGTCACTCGCTGATTGCCCAGTTCACATATCAGCACACCTGGCAGGGAGCGAGCAACGCACTATGCAAAAGCCTTGAGGAGCCAGCCACACAGCGGTGACCTCGTTGACCGGGATGTTGCAAGCTCACGGCGGCCAGAATGATCGAGATTCCAGTTCGGTCAATGCCCATTACGCCGAGAATTGGATGCTACAAGAGCCCTTGAAAAAGGAGAGTGTATTTTTCGAAGTGCTAAGAGTCTGTGTCTTTAACTTTCTTTGACCTTCTAGATGCAGAATCTGGCGGTGCCATGTCTGGTGCACCTAGCAATCTTGAAGTCTTCTGCCAGAACACTGCAGACCCTCAAGTTGCGCCTCGACGTGCGTAACATTCCAGGAAGGCCAACATCACTGTGGTTTCGGAACGAATGTCGTATTGACGCATTACATGTCCCGAGACAGTATCTATTGAGAGCGCCCTTCTAACAGAAAGGGCTACCTGATCTGCACTTCCCAATTCAAGCGCTAGCACTGCCAGGTGATGCGGCAGCGGGTTGTTCGCAGCGCACTATCCGTCACATGCAGAAGTCGGACGCTTTACTTTGGTATGTGGCCGCATTCGAGTCTGGTACTTTGGACTGTGCACCGAGCAAGTTTCGCTCTGGAGCAGAAAGGCCATTGAGGGGCGCTTGTGGCCTTGGTTGCAATGTTTTGACAGTTGTCCTTCCATACCATTCATGCACAATAAGCCCTATACTGCATACCGTTAAACATCTCCATCGTTGTCTGGTCGCAATGAACACCAAGTTTGTTGCCTAGCTACTGGCAGCAGGTGTGCACAGCTCGCGGCTGCCAAAGAGCCCCTATGAAATCCTACTTTGACTCTGGAGGTGATCGACGCACTGTGCACTGCCTGCTTTCGCTGATCGTGAGACAAACGGAACGAGGTTTGAAGCGGCTGCGAGATTTAGCATATTTTGGCATAAACTTGTGCGTGCCATGGAGCTCCAAACGTCGTCTCTATCTCATATGCACATTATTGCTATTTGGACACAGCCAGAGGTCAGTGTAGCAATTGATAAGCTCCATTCTCCGAACGCGAAGCTGTAACACCAAGGTGTTGTCGCCGTTGATGTTAATGACTTTTGGCCTCTGGGAGGTTACGATTCCACGACCGATTTCAGTCGTCTGTCATGACCTGGCAAGATCAGGGTGTCGCTTCTGGAATTCGGGTGAACTTTGAGTAGGCTTTAGACGTTAGTTTCTCATGCTGCTAGCGATTGACTTTACTTGTTCCCGGAGCAGTCCGACTGACTTCCTGTATTCTCCGAATCTGTTGCTTTCTCTTCAGAATGACTTGTGGCAAGCCGTGCGCCGCTAATAGCTTCATCCACTGAGGATCCCTGTCCCTGCTGTTCAAAGTACGGGAAGCATCGACTTCTGGCATACAGCATTACGTAAAGCTTATTATTATTATTATTCTTATTATTATTATTATATATATATAATTGTATTATATTGTGTTGCATTGTATGATTTTAATATCATAACATGTACAGACTATAAACCTATCACAAAATATGTATGGGTGTTGTTGACTCTGTTGTGCATTGTGTTTGGCATTTTCATGTGATTCAATTCCACTTCCCTGCAGTAGCTAGCGCCTAAAATATGGTGTTACGTATTCTTTGCGCTTACACTTCTTATGGCAGCAACTGGAGCATATTTCATTCATATTATATTTTTAAAACAACATATAATATGATGAAGCATGATGAACACATAAACTTTCATCATATTTTCATCATATTCTATTTGTCATTGCAACCCTCATCAAACCATGCAGCACCAGCCACCCAGCAACCACAGGCTCCACCAAACCACACCAACCACCAAACCCACACACTATCTCTGTACCCAGCAGCACGACACAATCTACCAAGCAGACAGTCCACATGGCAAAACCGAACACTGTGGGCCCAAGGCTTTGCACAGCAACTCCAAACCTTACACCCTCCGGTCCTGAACCCTGAACCCAAACCTTGGAACTTCCCTAAACCCTAAACCTTCACGTTCTTCTTCTGCGATCTAATAAATACTCGTACGATGACTACTATTACTATTACTACTACTATCAATGCTATTACTACTACTAATAATAATAATAACAATAATAATAGTAATAATAATAATAATTCTACTTCCATTGCTATTACTCCTGCTACTGCTACTGCTACTGCTGCTACTACTACTACTACTACTACTACTACTAAGGGTCTCGGCTGGAGCACGG